TAAAAAAGGTTCAAGGGAATTATAATGGTTCTAAAGGGCCACAGTTACTCTATGGTAGATAACGATCTAAGTGAGCACGATCGTCAAAGAGTTAAAAAATGTAGCTATCATTCTTCAAAAGTTCACGTGAAAATGTTGTACCGATTCCCTCTTCACAAACTGCTATCAAGATCCATTGGTATCATAATATTCCACAAATCTTCGAGCCTTATTTTACATATTTTACAAAATTAGTATTTTAGTCATTAAGTGCAAGCGTGGCTGCAACGAGATTATCCATACCTGAGTTTCACACGGTCAGTTCAACAACTACATCATTTATCTTACAACAGATAAATTTGTTCATTACTTTTCCTAGCACTAATCGTGCTTTTTTTTCAGAAGAACATGTTTGAGGAAGTCTATTATTTTGCAAAACTCTTCGTTTAGGAATTCGAAACCGATCACAAGAAGGGAATGGCGGAGAAGCGGTCACGAAAAATCCGTTCAGCGAGTGAACCACTTGACGATAATGTAAGTCCATAGAAAATTATGATTGCTAGAGGATTTTCAGCTGAAAGAAACCCAAAGTGTGAAAGACTAACGCATATTAAAGGAAATATAGAGGTTTTGTTGATGTCGCACAATCTCCATACGTACAGAGAGTAGAAAATTTATTAATTCCTTAACGGCTGAACAATAATAACTGGTGATCGTATTGAAACAAATAGTAATCCTTTAGTCACTAATAAGTAAAGACACGGTGAACCATAGCAATCATCGTTCTATTTGTTCATTGATGAATTGGGAGAAAGGCTTAGAGAGCCATAGACAAGTGGCTTTAGGATGGTAAAATTTGAAAGGCGCGAGCATCGAAATCTGTGCCTTTGGAGATCAAAGGGCTAAATAAAGGCTTATAAATAACACACACCGAATGAAGAGTGGCAGCGCATGATTACTTGCTATAAGGGATATAATAATTGCAGCGATTAACACCTACCGTAACCATTTGTGATTAGTTATCGTAAGCACATTAAAAGTGGTCCCAAGAAGAGATTGCTGGTTTTTATACTCCGCATTTTTCGTTTGTATTTTCTCGAAAATTTATCAAGTTTTAATAGCCAATGGAGCAAATACAACTAATTTTACTGTTTATAGATAGTAGTTGCCAGAGATGCCAGCCTTGAAGAAACTCATGAAGAAAATCTGAAAAGTGAAAATATGACAACGATGGGAGTAACAAAGCATACAGAGCCTCAAACATCTACGGAAATCGTCACCATCAAAACCAGCGACGTGAAAGGATCAACGCTGGGTGAGAAAATGGAACTAGAAGAGTCAACTAGGAAGACAGAGTTATCGACTACAACCCATAGTTCACTCAAAAGCACCTTGAAGGAACTATCGAGTACTGCCGACAGTACTGTCAGTAGTATCGTGGAAAAATTACTGAGTAATACCGACGGCCTCATCACATCCATAGCGAATTCTAGCGAAGAATTCGACAGTGATGATGATAACACAACTACTACATTCATGACGGAAGCTACGAAAAGCCCAACGAAGGCATCAGCAGTGAGTGACAAAGTGGAAATTAACACGACGAACGATCGCAGAAGCACTCGCTTGTTCAAAAGTACAATGGATAAAATTGCTGAGGATGTATTTAGGAAGCCAACAAAGGGGAATAGACTTGTAAATCGGGTGTATAATTGCTTGATGGTAAGCCTTTCACTCAATTTCCATCGTAACGTAATCTCAATTTCTCAAGCCTTGTAATCTGTCTCAGATTGGCGGACGAGATATACTCGGCATTAGTGACGTCGATCTGCCATACGTTGCAGCCCTTCGTGTTCCATTTGTCTGCTTGATACTGAGCATTGTTATTGTCTGTCTCAGCATCACACATGCATTCATGAACTTCTCCAAACCTCGTCGGGTGAGTTGCGTTGTGCTACGCTTAAGATGAAACCGCTATACGATAGTAACACTTTAAGAGCTGCATTCTTGTTGAGAACGTTGCGCAAGTTTTTCTTTGGACTTTGTCGGGAATTACGCTGGTGTTAACCCGACTAGACTGGCATCTGATATGGAGCGGTGTAGTGCCTGGAGCATTCGTTCCTGAATATCCTGCTAGCTGGCGCTTTGTTGAGGTACGTTGTGAATCAGTCTTTGAACAAGTTGAGCTGGGCTAACTACTGAATTAGGAGTTAATAGCTTGTTAAAGTAATACCCTGACAATGTATTTTGAGCCTTTTGAGAGATCGGTTATGAGCACCTATGCAGTGCAAGACACGTGTTTCGGCCGATAAGTATAAGTGCCCATAACAGATCTCATGAAAAGCTCAAAATACATTGTCAGATTATATTTTTCATGAGCGGGGTCTCAAAATAGTCGATTACATTGACTGTTAAATAATAACTTGCAACTGCAATCAGTAGCCCGTAATAGACCACTACGCAACTGTACTTGGTTAACAAGCGAATAGACATCCTTGCAATCAAATCAACCTGTCTATAATCAATCTCTCAGTTATACACAGGCCAAACGACTTGACTATTCAAATTCCACGTCTCTTCCATGTCCTTTATTTCCTAAGCTATACCATTCTAGTTAGCATCTAGATCAATGACTAGACACAGGTTAGCTTATGGCAGATCTACTCCATATTCCTGGTCTTTTATTGAATAAATTTGACTCGATAGTACTTAATATAGGAGTGAAATTTTAGCGGCACCCAAAGTTGTAGTTCTACTCCTCCTCAGGACGTGAATAAGATCAGTGACCATGTTGACGCTTGTTAAGGAGCCAGTGTCAGAAAATGCGCCGCTGTAATGAATAGTTTTGGAAGGGATAGTTGGTAGGGAAGATGACTTTTGAGAAAGCAGCAGTTGGTCTATGAAGACCTTCGCTTTAACAAACGAAGGCCAAACAAAGGTCACATAGGATTCGAAAATCAGAGTATTGTAACTAATAAATGATCATGATCACTGATGGCTTACGCTGTGAGTTCGATTTCAGCTCACCTGCTGCATGATGGTGATTTTATTCCTCGCTGAGTATTACTTCCACGATTACATTTTCTACACAATCTACTTTGAAGAGAGCTGTGGAAGTTACAAGGTAATATTTTCATGAAATACTTTTTTTGCTTGTGTGATTTCTACTGTAATTGAGAATTCATGGTCTAAATAGAAGGCTTTAGGTGGTTGAACGTCGTGAGTGCGGAAATTCAGTCTACACGAGCACTGCGGATATAAGTGAAAACAATGTACTTTGATATCGAGCTTGTACAGACTTATGATTACAGCTCATCAGTGAGAAAATGAAGTGTCTGACAGCAATGTGTATCATAAGTGATATTACCAACAAAAAGAATGGCGCTCACGATTGGTTTATGTTTCAAAAGTAGCACGGTCAATCTCCTAAATTTAACACATACATTTCAACTGTTTCTTGGAAAGCAAGACAGTCTAACAAATAGAAGGAAATAAAGCATAAAAGTAGTGAATACTGAGAGATTATTTTCAGAAGCGAACATTAGAGCCGGTCTTCCATCAGTTGTCGTAATTATCCAAAGTAAAATATTTACTTTATTATTGCTCTCTTCGCTGAATCTAATCTGAGTGGCTTTTGTCGTCTTGGATGATCACCACTGATCACAAACACCTAAACTTTCTATCAAATCATTCAGATGAGCCTTCTGTGAGTCTGACAGATATGAGGTCTTAAGAGTAAATGAGACCAGTACCTTGAATGTAGAACGCTTGCTTATCCATTTTCCATGCAACTGTAAGGTTGCTGAAACACCTGCAAGACTTGGGACCTCAGTTGGGTTTCCAACCTTCGACTAAACTTCAGGAGCACAGATATCGTTCAATACGCCAAGCGGGGCTCCTACTCGCTAATTCTCTTAGACATATTCTAATTTTTTTTATCTTTGAAGAAAATTGTATCTCGTATCGATAACAATTTGAGTAATTTGTATGTAGTAGAACTCATCGCTACCTTAATCTTGACATTTAGCTTTAATAGCGGTGGCAGTCTCATGTGTGAAGCGCAGAAGTCACAGTAATACTGATGATAAAATCGTTACGGTATATTATCGGCACGTTTCGGAGCTAATTTGTATTGGCGTCCCATCAATGAAAATGTGGCTTTTTTCTAATGATCTTGAGTTGTGAAAGGAGGATATCATTGCTAAATGATAGAATACCACAGGAAAGATTTCTGTAAGGGCTTTCATGAGTAAAAACAAGGCTCTCTCATCAAAAAATCCTTATGTATCAACAATAAATCACGTCGCTGCGAAAGGGAGCATATCTGCAGCTGGTATAGTCATTTGAAGACCATGTGGAACGTTTCGTCCCACACTACGCGAAGTCGCATCGCACTCAGCTGCTGTAATGGCGGCGTTACGCCCCTTGAGAAAGGCGGCTCGTCTCGTGGGAAGACAGACGCAAACAGCATGATGGGTGCGAGGAGGCGAACCCATGTTTTGAAGGAGCATTATCATCATGAAGTGATGGAATCTCGTTAGAAAGCTCGTTTAGAGATAACCTTAGTAAAAATTACATCTATGTCTTCCATATTCCGTCTATATTTCTTATGTTTCAACAAGGAAACTACATCGCTAAATGATAATAGTAATGACAGTGATGATGATTGTGCTAACGGCAATGATAATGGTAATGATAAGGATAATGATGATAATAATGACAGAGAAACGATAATGATAGTCCCAATGGTAATAATAGAGAAAATGACAATGATTGTGGTAATGATAATGATAGTAATAATGATAATGATAATGGTACGGCAATGATAGTGTTAACGATAATGACACTGATAATGATAACAAGGCAGTAAAAACACTAGAAATTTTCTAGTATTAGTTATCACAATGGCTGTCAGCTCAACTGGGTTTATGAACAAAATCGCATACCCGACCAAACCTGTTGAAGGTTGGTGGCTCACAGCTATCATAAATATTCTGAAGAATGAATGGCAGCGCGAATGTACCTCAGTGGTGTAGTGGCAGCACAAGTCCCCGGTATGGATGGAAGGCGGATTCAAACCCCGTCTGAGGTCGTATTTTTGCTCACCATTTAATTCTCTTTAGTAAATATGAAACAAGATAATATTGCGAAAAAGGCAGTAAGAATACTAGAAATTTTGATTTTATTTCTTGTGGTAAAGATAGCGATAGTCATTATAATAACAGTAATAATAAGAATAAATGTATTCCGAGTGGAAATAACTCCCATTTATCTATTTTTCGATGAGAAGAGCGCATGTGGCGCAATGGTTAGGTGCACTGCGTCGTATACAAGTTCGATTGTTATATCTCGCGCTCATGGCTCATCAGGCCATCCATACATTCGAGTCGTGAGACAGAAGATGAGGACTTTTATGTACTAATGGGCTTCCCAAAGCCACCCGCACGTGGTCTCGTTGAAGTTATTCGTGAGGTGGGAGCTGGACGACAAGAGAGAAACCATTCGGAGAGAGACTAATCATCATCTACGGCTAAAAGGAGTAAGTAGAGCACGTGGAATAACAAAGATTACAGCAACAATTGATGTTCATATTGAGATTGGCCAAAAAATCCAGTTGTATTGCAATCTTCAAATTCGTTTTCACCAAACAAGCCTTGCTTTGTGATTGTTTCTGCATAATCTGGTCATTTTCTTTGACTTGCAGCCTCTGACTGCTTTCCAGGAGCTGGTTGTTCATACCCAGGGCGTACTCTCCTCTGCCTATGTTTTCACTCCTAATTTTCTCACGGTCTCAGTCAGCTACTGTAACGGCGGCGTCTTGCATCGTGAGAATGAAGGCGCTTGTGGGAACGCAGACTTAGGCAGTACGACATTCTCGCACAGAGACGCAGATGCCGCCCTTAGCATTGCCGCTAAGGCGACGGCGCGACGCCGCCTACCTATCAGCGGTAGTCCTCAGAGGAATAGAACATTTCTATGCCTCTTTTTTTTTCTTTGTGATGATTCAAAGACTCGCAAATCACAGATTCTAATTCTGAACTTGGTTTACAGAAATGTGTCTGATAAATAAAAAGAGGAATACGTTGTGCATTTGGACGAGATAGCGCTTTGTTTGATTTTCACCACCAATTTATTAGCACTTATTAGTGCGTTCAAATGTTTAAAAAAACATTATGACTAAGAAACATAGATTAATCATTGAAAGAACGTAATTTTAGCATAAACGAATGCTCAAACGTCCTAAAAATTCTCACTTTTCAACATGAACGTCACATCTTTGGGGAGACAGCGCATTTTCGACTATATTGCACATTTATTTCGACGAAGTGGTAGAAGTGTAACTCGAGAAACACAATTCCCACAATGTGTAGGTAACTCATATAAATGAGTTTCAGTATATAGTCTGAGTACCGCGTTGTAGCTGAGATGAACCTCTGTCTTGAACTCAATGAATTTGATTTTTGCACGCAGTCTCTGTAAATTTTTCAGACCTTCATCAAATAAACTCTTGAATTTTTGGCATATATTTGAAATTCTTCGAGAGTAACTAGCGGATCCCTGAGAGAGGAAGGCATCTTTCACATCAAAACCTTTTTTCTGACGCTTTTCCTCCATACGTGTGCGTATGGAATATTTGTTTGGCTTTGAGTTTTCCAACAATGTGCTTCTTCTTAAGGAAGCGGAGTGATCTACTCGTTTCACCAACGTATTCGTTCTAGCATGTCTTGCAAGACATTAGCTAGATCGTACCAAATTTTGTGCAATCGGCGTCTTTATCGTAAGGAAATCATGCTGTTATCACCAATTTTTGGTTTCAGGTTCCTTTGACCCACGAGTTCCTGATGCATGCTTTCTATAAACTTCGACCAGCACTTTTCCAACTTTTTCGTAATATGCAAAAGCTGCCACTAATTGAAATTCTCTGAATGTCGATAAGACCATCTCTGTTAGATCGGCGAGACACGACTTCTTTCGGCATTGGCGTGAAGATTGAAGGAATTGTCGACCACTTCTCCTTGGGCTCGCAGCGAGTTCAGTTGTGAGGCTATGCCTTCAACAACTTTTTAAGCCGAAAGGGTAGCGCTGACAGTGAGACTGGACCTGATACTTCGAATCACCTTTTGGCTTCGTGTATTATTGGCATGTTAATGGAATGTATTACACTGTATGTTAGTCAAAATCACCAATCACATTCCACTAACATGCCGTGTAATACACGCAGTCGAAGGGATTCGAAGCTTAGATCAGCCGACTGCCACAGTTACCATGTCGCGTTCAAAAAGTTGTAGAAGGCGTGATCTCACATCTGAAATTCGCCCCGAGTCAAATGCAAAGAGATCGACAATTTCTTCACTGTCACGCCAACGCCGAAGAGGTCAGTGTCTTGCCCATTCACAAGAAAACGGTCTTCGCGACGATGTAAAAGTCTGATTAGTGGTAACATTCGCATGTGCAGTATTCGTTTTACAGAGGCAGTCACACGGTTGGTGACGGGCTAAGTGGCGCTTCAAATTGTCTGAGGGTTTATCAATCTACTACTATCGAATTGTCCAACTCTCCTCTTCTTAAACAAGGCTTGATAACTGTGCTTACTTAGTTGGAAATAAAGGGCACGAATAAACAGGACCTTACTTCACTAGACTATCGTCTGAGAGCGCCACTTTCCCTCAAAGATGTCTTGAGCTGTTGAATGAGCAGTTACAATAGATGAATTCCCGGAAAAAACCGGCAATAAATTGACTTTATTCTTGGACGCTTAGATCAACCTAACCGAAAGCGCCTATCGTAAACCGAGTAGCAGAAACACATTGTTCCATTACGTTCGCTCTCATCCATCACACACAAAACTCACATATGTGAAAAATTGCCTTACAACAGCCACCAGTGTTTGCACAGGAAGAGAACATAGGAGGATTTTTGAAATTGACACGAGCGAAAGCCATTTATAATTGGCAGCGAGACAGCGGAAGTTTCTCGAGATAGACCTTTCCTCTTGTGTGTAGCAAGGGCAATGCAAGCACATATATTTATAGCTATCAAAAATTAGGGTATGATTTTGTGTGATAACATCTTCATTAGCCACTTACCGGTTATTTCGTCGTCGGTGATCTCTTGATGAGATTATGCACACTTCAATGCAATCTTGGACTGAGTTCCAGAGATTTTGGTTTTTTATAAGCCTAGGAACGTCAGATTGACTCACAGTCTCCTCAGTCCATCGCTTCCGAAGACGGACCTCCAGAGACAGTGAATATCGAGTTATCGAATAACACTATAGAAGACATCTTCAGAGAAAGTGCAGAATCTACTTTTACAAGTTTCCTGATGTTGAGGACTTTTCACTTAAAGTATCTAGTCAGGCATGAATTTTTCTCATAACTTTCACGATTCGCAGCTTCACAGTCAACCCTGTGGAGAATACAGTGGCATCACAGAACATAAATTCCTTAAAGCACACATTGGCTTGGATATCTTGTAGCAAATGTCAAAATATCAATTGTTTAGAATCTCATACAACAGCCAATTCAACATAGTGCTAAGGTATTAGGATAGAAGAAGGAATAGGTTTCGCTTTTGGACTAGATAGCCCATTGCTTGAACTTCATCGCGGAATTATTGATTACTACCATAACAAATATTCTGCAATGTACGATCTTCAGAAGGCACTTATATGGAGGGATAGCTTATATGATACTGAAGTATGTACTCGGAGTAGGCTTTGATAGAATGTGCACCCAATTTGGACCATGTCTCTTATCTACTGAATGGACATCCGCAACCGGCTACAGCTGATGCATGTGGTCTCATTGAAGCTATATGGAGAGGCTGAAACTGGTAAAAAATACGTGCAGGGAGTCGTCTTGAGAGCCTTTATTATGAGAAATGAATGCGCAAATCATCTAATTCCAAAAAAAGTCTTAACTGTTTGAGTACACTAAGAAGCGAAACTACTGAAAGTTATCAATGAGGTAGTATCGCATGCTATATCATTTTTGACCAAAAATTCATTTTTGTAATTGTTTTGGCTTTGCTTCGACTGTGAATATCTTTACTGAGTTTTTTCTATCGTATTTTAGCATCTGCCAACTACAATTACCCCCAACGACAAGAAAGCTCTGGATTTCATTACGAAACTACAACACTACGATGATAACGCACTTCATCTGAAGATCGACCGCTTTGACTGCCGCGCGGAAACGCAGCGCGGCGCCGCTTTCCTATCACGGCAATATCGAAAGGTTAAAAGTCTTGTGATAGACTCGATAATAAACGCAAAAAAAATAAGAGGTAGCTCACTGTCATCGGCATGTCCACGCGAAGATACTGATTGGAGCAGATCCTAACATTGCTTTCAAAAAATTCTAGACAAATATAGTTTACCTTACACATAGGTTGATAAAATTTTATTCGATAATTTTTTATTCGGATGTTGCTTCTATATCTTCGTTTCCTTCAAAACGTTGACTGAAATCCATATTTTAGAGCCGCTCGTTCACAACCATATCAAAAGAATAAATGGCTGTAGACAATCGACTCGGATTAACCGACTCTGCGAAAGACGATGACGTCAAAACGTTTTCCAAGTAAAAGTTCATATCAGCCGCGTAGCGTAAAAAATCTAAGGAGTATTTGAAACCAATTAATCTATAATCGGGCATTTAGTAATTTCAAACAATCTTAGATAAATCTATGAAAATCTCTCACCAATTTGTATGTTCTATTCTAGATTATAAATTTACAAAACTCCACATGACGGTATGGAATCAACAGCAACGAGATCTAAGTAATTCCAACTTCGAAAAATGTCCCTGAAGAGAAATCGACTTGAGATTTAATGTGTCATGTGGCTCCCAAGAGAGCGTAAAGATCGGTGTCAAAAAAGATTGTTCACCTGATTTCGGTGTAAAGTGAGAAACAGCCTTCACAGTTTGATGGGCACATTCTTTTGGTGCGGTTCTAGTAACGTCATCTGCAACATGAGATTTTATCTTTCATCTTTCGGTGCCAGTTTTTCCAAAGCACGATACTGTGGTCGAAAGGTCTCACTGTGTAGCCGAAGTTTTTCCAACAGTAGTAAACAAATTCTTTATC